GTTCCGATTTTTAAGATTTGTCTATGTCCTAGGTCTCAATTCAATTGCCACTATTGTTTGCAGTTATCATACCTCACAGGGTTGCTTTATTGCCAATTTTCAACAAGCAGTGACCGCGTCTGATCATGTCTTCAGCAATAAAAGCCCCAATGGGCCGTCGGTCGTGATATTAAATTGTTAAGAACCTCATACACAAGATGAATCGATTCTCACCTTCGAAATATGATCAAAGTCTCAGTTCTACTGGGAGCAGTTAAACTCATAAACATATTGAAATGTAGGACGTACTTAATAGCCCCCCAGTTCTCATTACAAGTAAACGCTTCGCCACTAGTCTCCGCGAACGTTTACTCAGACAATAGTGCGCGTTCAGAAACGATAACAATGCTCCGTATCTTCCATTGTGAAGGAATAGAGCTGTCGACAAACCGGGCACATTTTAATATGAATTAATGTTTAATTAACAAACAAAATTAAGGTTGCTTCATATAAAGGTCATTTAATGACTGCTATTCTGTTCTGTGTAATGTTGTCTTAAACCTTGACCTCCTCAAAAAACTGTTACTAGTTTTCTTTAATACTTCCAAAAAGTCGACACTTGTTTTTCTATTTAGGAACATAATTTCTAATCCCCTAGTTCTGTTCCTGATTTCATAAAGTTGCCGTGAGTATAAGACGCGCGATGATCATATGTCGAGTGATGAGACTCTGCCGATACTAAATCCCTATGTAGTACCATACCTAATTTTAAATAGGTAGGTACCAATATTTCTAAGGAAACGCAATGTTTGAGAGGGGACACAGTCGTCGTGACTCTGATAACAGCTGAATATCAGTTGGGTAAGTAATATAAGATATTATTCATACGATCATGAGAAACCACTAGTAAAAGATGGTGGATCCACCAATTTCCTTTTTTCTGCATCAAAGCAATCATCCGTTCCCGTTTGAAGTTTGGTTGAAGGTTGGTTGAACATACACTAATTAAAGCTGAATCTCATGTCTAAATGGCGGTTGCAGTGATCACACTGTGGCGTGTGAAAAGTCTTAATTTGTAGTTCAAAAAATTGATATGAATTTTTCGCAAAAAGCATGGAGTTAATTTATAAATTGCGATATGTTAAATGTAGAGCGAAGAAAATATTTTTCAACTCTTCCCGCTCATACAACGCCGAAATAGACATTGACGTATTAATGTCGATTTGTAACTGTGGTCTGTTTGCTCAGGGAGGATATTTAAATGAACAGAACGATTTAATGTGCATATTTGAGTGCTAATAAATAAATATATGTATGTATGGATAATGACGCAGTTAAAACTGACTATGTATAAGAAATTACATGTTTAAAATAGCAATATAGAAAGATTTAAATGCTTCTACAATATCTCCTTCTAAATTAATTATATTTCATTTTAACTTCAATTACATTTACCTTGTGTCCTTGCACCTGTTACCTTGTGTGTCTCCGAATCCTGATCACGCAGGAGCAAGTCACCGTCGTCGCCCTAGACATGTCCTTACGGATCCATGAGATCCAATAACTCTTGCATTAGATATCTTCAGCTCTAACACTAGGAGCAGGCTTAAGAATCCCGGTAACCGTACTCGTCGAACTCGGCAAAGAGTTCGACGTGCAACCTAACCCATGCATCATCCCGCTGAGTTTCTCTCCGGATCTTCTCAGCGGGTCGCGATTCCGGAACCGGTAGTAGATTCATTCGTGAAGCAGCCACTCTTGAGTTGTTAGGTCTTCTTCGGAGGCGCTCGGGTAGCTGTAAGCAAATCCCACCCCTCTAGGCTGAGCCTTGCTTGCCCACCTGTCCTGGTGAAACTGGAAAGGCCTCCAGGCCTACTGTAATACTTCAATCATAAAAAAAAACCTTGTGTGTGTGTGTGTGTGTGAGTTGATAAACTTTAACTTTGCTCCTACAACGTAAGTAAAAATAATATGCTTACTCGTACTTTACCAAAATTTAATCTAAAATTACAAGTCAATGACAAAGCATGAATTAAAAAAAATACGTGTGGCACTCGGGGACTGCCGCAGTAAAACTATTGCATAGCATTTTTTATCAACTTATGCAATTATAATTAGACAAAATTAGACAATAATAAATTAATATTAAAAAAAAAAAAAAAGTCCATGCTCTATTTATAAACATTAACAAAAGCAAAACATTAACTGTCCCCTTCACACTCATAAGCTAGAGCGCGCGAGAGAGAGATGGGCAGACTTTTCATGATGCGCATGCAGTGCGACGTCACGCCGCGCGCTTATTCACAAACACTACACAAGCGCAACGTGTGAATGTGTTGAACGCGAGCTACACGGTAGGCGGAGTAGAGGGTGTTAGGTTTTATTTTCGTTACGGAATTTCTTGATTCGGTCGCCGCGCTCATAGCCCGCGATTAAAACTATGCAATAACTTCAAAAAATCTCTTCGTTAATATTATTTTCATCGTCTTTATAAAACAATCAAGCGTTGCTATTTTTTATATAAATAATTTCTACAAACGAATATAAATCGGTGTGTGGAATACTGTCCGTCCCTACGGCGTGGTGCCGGCAGGTGTCGGTGAATGCATGGCGTTCTGGGTCGAGCCCCACTTCACATTGCGGCCGTAATGTGATTGCGACGATACAGAAATGCTTTCTCGAACAGTCACCGCTTTTAACTTTAAAACGTTTAAAAATAAACTATCAAGCTGTTAAATGTGATTAAGTTTTCGAACGAGCACGGGCTTATTCTGATACTGAAATGTATTTAAATTAAATATGTTGACAGGAAATATGATTTTGTCATTGGTTTTAACCAGCAAAATACATAAATTACTTCAATTCAATCTATACTTAATATTAAAAAGAGGAAAGATTTGTTTGTTTGTTTGTATTGAATAGGCTCCGAAACTACTGAACCGATTTGAAAAATTATTTCACTGTCTGGAAGCTACACTATTCCCGAGTGACATAGGCTATAATATTTTTTGAAAAAAATATGTAACCCAAGGTATAAAAAAATTACCTAAAATATTCTTTACATCGCGTGCCCTGCGAAAACTATTGATGATAGAATAAAATAATGTACTACGACTTTGTAGGACACATTATTATTTACAAAAATTGTCGCGACAGCATATTTCTAAGTATTATAGTTATGCCGCAATAAGTGTTGTTTTATTTTAAAAAAAAACAACGTCAAATATCATTGAAATTTTTGTTGACCCGAGCGGAGCCAGAGCGGGCCGCTAGTCATAGATACGTTCGCGCATACACTCATAGGTAAGTTCTTGATGGTGGACAATTGGTTTGATTAGGTATGTTCTGTACCCGACACAATGGTACAAGCCAGCCAGTTCAATTTTCAAATTTGCCGCACACTTTGCGATACTTGACTGTGCGCTGCTTCATTACCTTAGACTTTTTAACGTACTTCAAAAAAGGAGGAGGTTCTCAATTCGACTGTATTTTTTTATACGTTTTATTTCTTTCGATGGGCACGCGAGCTCACGGCACACCAGTCTTACCGGTGACCACAAGCATAATAACATGAATGTAGCCACCCATCGCGAGACATGGGATGGAAGCGTCAATTGTATTGACTTAATTTTTGCCAAACACTGTATCCGATCTACTTTATAATCATATCGATGGGTGAAGGGCTATTAGGTGTAAGCGACATTTAGCTTTGTAATTAATTAAAAGCGCTTTATTTGGTATTAACATCAACAGTTCGATGTTTTTAATTGAGCTTCAATTAAGCTTACTGTATTCAAACAGCTCTCGAGCTCACACCCACCTGATGTTAAGTGGTTACTGGAGCCCATAGACATCTACAACGTAAATGCGCCAACCACCTGGAGATATAAGTTCTAAGGTCTCAATTATAGTTACAACGACTACCCCACCCTTCAAACTGAAACGCATTACTGCTTCACGGCAGAAATAGGCACGGTGGTGGTACCTACCCGCGCGGACTCACAAGAGGTCCCACCAACAGTAATTACGCCAATTATAAGTTTGCGGGTTTGATTTTTATTACACGATGTTAATCCTTCACCTTGGAAGTCAATCGTGAGCATTTGTTAAGTAGGTATGCATTTCATTAGAAAAATTGGTAGGTACTTGATAGCGGGATTCGAACACCGGTGCATCGCTAGATACGAACGCACCAGACGTCTTATGCTTTAGGGCACAACGACGACACTTACGTGGGATTCCTTTGCTATAACAACACTCGCTTGAAACAGCTGAACTTCCGCATTACTTTAGGCAATGCTTGAGAGTGGTCCTTAGTCTTGGCTTTACCCCTGGCCTAGACAATATCTATAAGCGACGGTATTAACTTGAGGCCAGATGGTCCATAACACTGTCTGCGCTCTTCACGTTAGTACAGGTTTACCATTTTTATAAATACTATCGGCAACTACTTTTATAAGTAGGGTCGGAAAAAAAAACTCCTACATAGAAGATAGTTAGCTACAGCCGACATAAATTATGAGTGCTAACGCTGTTTGAACTAGAGACTTTATTACGTCACGTTATGATATTAAGTCAAAAAAAACGGAGACTCATGCTATCTCGCTTGGTCGCACCGGGTACGCATCATGGCGCCCACGCATCAACCTATAGCCAATGAAAGCATTTCGCGCACTTACTATTGCGTTACGATTAGCTTCTTTAAAAAAGATTACTTCTGCGCAATTTTTTTTTTTATAAGTAAATATTTAGTAACAATCACGCCACGTTAACTGGTTCCGTGATAAGTTCATAAAGAACTTGTGTTACAGGTACCAGATAACGGATATAAATGTAAGATTTTTATTATACACATACATATATTTAATAGACATCCATAACCCTGGAAAAGACATTTATATTTATCATATAAATATCTTCCCTTGGCGGGATTCGAACCCGCGACCCCCCTGTGTAGTGACCATGTCACTTACCACTACAACCTGTACCTATAGTAAACGAGATAAATAAATAAACAGATAAAATATCACCATTCATTTATTATCTACAACTACGAAACAATTCGTAACAACAGATCAACAGCATAGTATAACATATAATTCAATAAATATTCCTTTATAAAATATATCCATTTTTCGTATTCATAAAACATTCAGATGTCTAACAATTCCCTTACAATTATTCAATAAAATCTAGTTTAAGAAAACACTATATTTGTTTGATCGATTGGCGAAGCCCTCGTCGGGCTAAAAGCACAGATTAAACAATCATTTGTTTTTTTTTTATTCTAGCAACTTTTTTTTGTATCAGCTTACCTCACCAGAAAGACAGGTTTGACGCAACAAAACAATTCCAATGAATTGCAAAACTACTACTACATCTTTATTACTACATCTTTTTATCAACAACTAATTTTCACACCCTGTATAATGTAATTACGTAAAACAGGAGACAATGTACAATCAATATAGTTAATTCAAAGAGCTTTTAATCGGACACGTAATTTCTAGAATGCGTCTATAAATTAAACACGATTCATAGTTGAATTGTTTTTGTGGAAATCGTTCTTATTCGACAATAATATTCATATCAAACAAATATTATTTACATTTTGTTTGTATAATCTGTGCGTAAATAGTAATGTCAAAAATAAAATATGCTACAAATTGTCACAATATTCTTTAACTAGTTTAAAAAAAAAAGTCAAATAAATTATTACAAAAAATAAATAAATATCTAAATGTTATTATTTAAAAATAAATCATTTTGAAATGCAATTATCCCGTTCTTATTGTATTTAAAATAATAATATGCTATTATGTTGTCGCCTTTTTGGCTTTTTGACTGCGTTCATACGAAAGTTTTTTAATTATATCTTGATACAGTTACCTTAACTTTTAATTGATTAAAAAATATTTTTTACTCAATGTCTTTGTTTCAAGTCATATTTGCTTTTATTATCGTAGTTATGACGAGGGTTTATGGTTCGATTACTTTAATTTCGATTTGATAGAAACACATATATACACAGATATGTTTTTAGAAAAATATAGTCATGTGAAAATTATTAAAGCTTCATAAATTATAAATGGGAATACACATTGTAAATATTTGAAGTCTGTTCTTAATTTAAAGTAAAACGCATAAAGGAAAAACTGAAAGAAGAACAGTTATTGCAATTTTAATGTCAAATTATTTTATCTAAAACGAATTTTAAATTTCTCTCTTGCATTGCAACGCGCTCCAAGCTCCTCATTTGACGTTAATTTAATTACGTCACTATTCGGTACCATGTAGCCTGATATTATATTATTATCATCTTACGAAAGATACAAACACGACCAACGAAGGCAAAATAAATATTGCTTCAGAAACAACAACAATATAACGATTCTAATTTCAAACTGGACTGAGGGGACTGTATTGTACAGTGACGTCAACGTTCAAGATTACGATTCAAAGAGTATACCAACATTCGCGTTGCGGGCAGTCTGTTTGATTTATTTACAACATATCAATCATAATTTCAACCTATCTATAGTATCAACAGAATGCTCGCTATATTTCACGAACAATTTTTAATAGCCCTGAAACATGCCCTAGTATTTTAATCCTTCACAATAATAAAATTTTGCTACTATACTTTACCAGGAGGTAAACATTCAAATAAATAAAATATTTATCTAATAAGATATAACAAAGGTAACATGTCAACAATCAACCTTTAATATAAGTATGTATTTTGAATACATTATTTTATTACTATGATATTATGTCGAGTTATGGAAGATTCGTTTTAAGTGAAATTTCGTCAATTTTACTGGACAATAAAGTTTTTTTTATTGCCCTCGCTGGCAGACGAGCATACGGCCCGCCTGATGGTGAAAGGTTACCGTCGCCCATGGATATAAAACCTATCATCTCATTTAACTCGTTTTGAAGTATTACAAGAAAACTGGGGCCCTCTGTTATAGTTATATATAAACTACAAGCCTCCAACAAATTCAATTGTTTTCCAAACAATATAATTTTAAAGTTGACACAATTTCACCTAAGTCTTTAATATTATAAATACCAACAAAAAATGACCTTGTCACTTTTGTCATTCTCAAAACAACTTAAAAAAAAAAACAATTTGTTATCACTCTTGGCAACACTAATAGTTAATTGACTGGTAACATCGTAACTAAAGCCCAGAGTGTTTTCTTAAACTAAAGTGACGTCATCATTGGCTTTTCTTTTCTTGGACCTCTTTAGGACCTTGGATGTAGTGGTAGTTTATAAACCTGGCTCCTTGGGTGAGCTGAGCGCATTCGTTCGTAAAATGACAGGCGAAGAGCAACAGGTTCCTCGGCTGGACCTTCCAAGCGAACCTCATGAACATCAGCGAGTAGAGAGACAGGGCTGGAATTAAAGAGATAAATATTAAAATTGGTGAAGCATTAGTGTATTTTTTATTAATAACTTTTATTAGCTTCAGACGTATGTATGTTAGTATGTATGTTTGTAACGGAATCTTTGAACATGATTTTGACCCCTTTCAAAACGTCGGATTATTGGTATACTCGAAATTTGGTATCCCTATTAAGGACCGATGACAATTTAATATAAAAAGGAAAAATTGAAAATGAAAAATTGAAATTCAACTAAAAAATTAAAAATTAATAATAGTTTAAAAAAACTAACAAAATTCGCTTTTATAGAAAATCCAACTAAAAAATAGAAAATAGCTTTTAATAACTTTAAATTAAAATAGTGTAAGAAAAAATGATTTTATTCTAAAAAAGCTCGGGGTGCTTTTCAGAATATTATCAAAATAACTCTTCTATTCATATCTGTTCATAAAATATTTATAACTACTGATACCATGCACCCCACGGTTTTTTTACAGTAAAATCATTTTTTCTTACACTATTTTTAATTCAAATTTATTTAAATTTATTTTCTATTTTTTAGTTGGATTTTCTATAAAAGCGTATTTTGTTATCTTTTTAAAACTATTTTTGATATTTTATTATTGCATAGCTAACGATCGATCACAGTCCGAGTAGTCTTAAGTAATAGACTTAGACATACTTAGATAGTCTTTAGACAGACTTAGACATAGCTTATATATATCACTATGCGAATGGTTCGCTACAAATATAGGCAGGATAAACCTTTAAAACATTAATGCTCTGTATCTTATTACTAAGCCGGATGGCTCGGACATGTAGTACGTATGGAGCAGGATCGGGCTGTGAAACGGGTGTACACGGGTGTACCGGAGGGACGCCGCCCCGTAGGGAGGCCCAAGTACCGCTGGTGTGACGCTGTAGAAGGAAATTTACGGGAGCTCCAAGTGTCGGACTGGCAAGGTGTTGCGCAGCGCCGGGATGAATGGCAAAGTTTATTGTCGGAGGCCAAGACCCACTTCGGGGTCATAGCGCCAGCTCAGTATCTTATTACTAATAATGTAGATATAGATGTATATATATATACTTCTTCTTCTTCTTTTTCTTTCTTTCCTATTACCCTCTGCTGGGGTGTAGAGCTCGAATTAAATCCTACCATTTACATCGGTCTTGGGCAGTCTGTTCAATTATATTTATTCAATTAATTACATATACATAATTATTTATCAATATTTTTGAGCCATTGGGGCGGGAAATGCGAGATACGGGAGCAAAGTTCACCAACAAAACTAATAGTTGCTTTATTATATCCAAGGCTGGGTGAGTTATTTATTCAGAACTTCTGCGCGTGATATTTAATTTCCTCCTTAATTTGAGTTTTATTTTATTTATATTTGCTGTTCCGAACATTGAACTTCTAGAATAATCTGTGGGAAACTAGGTCAAGATGTGTACATAAATCTCCAGTTTTTATGTGATTTTATCCATGCTACAGTCCTTGTCTCTGACCCTGACAGGGAAATCTGTCTTCGATCTGGGAAGAACTGTCAATTTGATTCAACTTAATATACTATTTATGTAAGTTTTGGTTCCCTAACAACAGTATTAAAAAATTAGAACATAACTGTTTTTACATGTGTTTGAAACGACTCTACTGTTCAACGTAAAGTTAATATCTGATGCTATTGCATTCCACTAAGACTTCCTTTCAAACCTTGCATAAAGAAGAACATGTCAAAAGGCTCAGGAAACAGCGGGGAGAGGCAGTACAGAAATGCACTGTCAATTAACACAAAGGTCCCAGAGAGCAAGAATAAACTCTGATAAAGTGGTTTGATAGTGAAAAGGTGATACCAGGATCATCTCAATCAGGAATTCCTCACAATTATACATATTTATATCAAGCTGCCATCGGTGATATGAATATAAAATATAGGTCTTATACTAAAATAGCTTACTGCTTAGATTTAAAGAACAGCATATTAATATAGTGTTTATACACATAATTCATTAAATTATTATAAAGATTACATTTCATCTCAAATTCTTAAAACAATAGACATAAAAAATACATAAACCATTGTGTATCGTACAGACAAAATTATCTCATGATAAGACACAATATCTACTAAGAGATTATACAATCAAAAACACTGAGATAAAATAAAGTGAATGTCAAGATTTATTTATGTTTTTGTAAGTTAGTCGCTTTCATAAGACTATTGATAGTAGCAAGCCAGCACTTTATGTGCTTTGTTAGGTAATGGGTTTATTTGGTTTGCTATTTGTTCCTGATAACATGTTATGAAATATTGTAAAGCATTTCCTAGAGCTAGTGGTATTTTTTTCACTGAAATCAAGAGAACGAATAGATCATACACTTGCCAGCTAGTGGTGAAATTATTTAAATTTTATTTATTTTCTTATTCCTATATTTTCAGAACCCTACATAAATAATTTGGTGCTCATTAATGTTACGGAATGCTTGTGACTCCAATATCCTAATAACACAGTGAATGCAAAATATGATACTGAGAAATTGATGCAATGTCCTATGGTTTCACACCAATGCAGATACCCCACCGCCTAGGTGTTACCACTGTAAAGGAGGAAATCCATAAAACACCAAAGACATATCAGGGAAGGCTGAGGAAACATTCAAATAAATTGGTTATTCAATTTACAACATGAAGCTATCCTAAACAGCTAAAACGAAAGGATATTTTATCATAAATATATATATGACCTAATGACAAGTTGCCCTTACTGGAAAACATACACAAATTGCCACATCATACAGCATGACTGCTTATAGCACATCCGGGCTAATTGCAGATAATAATAAAAAATGATTTCTCAAATATTTCCTGAATTCAGATGGGCTGATAACCTTTTAGCAATATATACCTTACTTTAAGATACCTACCTCAGAGGGTAAAAAATACACAAAATTGTATACACTTTGAAGTTTGACATTCTGTTTAAAGAGTAAAATAAAATGATTAGATAGAGATTAGAAAATAAAAACCTTTAGAATACATACACATAATGTAAATAAAATAATTAAAACATATGCATATAAGAGACACTGGCAAACTGTCTCTTATGGTTCTTTTTGGCAGCATTTAACAATTTAAGTTTATTAATTTCCCCAACCTCCAATTTAAAATAGGTGGCCCCTAAACTAATGCATGCAACTTTACAGATGGTAAAGTGTTTAAGATTTAATGGTAATGGTAGCAGTTCATATTTGGTCACAGTACCAGTACCACAGTACTTCCACAATAACTTGTCTGACTGTGCCGCTTAAAGTACATAGTAATTTAGCAAAATAAAAATGGTTTAAAAAAGTTAAATGTGAGATATTACAAAATACTACATCAATAAGCTTCGATATAATAAGAATATGCTATTAAATAGAACTCACCAAAAGTCATTTTTCCACTTATAAAATTTGGATCCTTCCTTGTATCTGCTATGGCTGCTAGTGGTATACCCCAATTGGCAACAGGGCCCCAGAAGTGTGTGCTAGAATTGATAATAATGCTTATACTATCTACTACAGAATCTAATTTTATTAATACTTTAGATGGAACAGTTCATTGTTCATCTGGCATTCAGTGGTTTTTTTTTATGTTTGAAAAATTACTGGTGGCACGAAGGCCTTTCCAGTTTCACCAGGACAGGTGGGCGAGCAAAGGCTCAGCCAGGAGGGGTGGGATTTGCTAACAACTGCCCGAGCGCCTCCGAAGGAGACCTAACAACTCAAGAGCAACTGCTTCGCGAATGAATCTACCACCGAATCGGAATCGCGACCCGCGAAGAAGATCCGATTGGAGCCCATAAACATAAAATTGTTTTCACATAGAAGTCTGTGTCTCAATTGAATATTATAGCTGTCTCCCTCTTTAAAGCAGAATGATTTAATGTTTCGCAGCAAAAATTGGCAGGCGGTAGTGGCGACTTGTTTGGGCTGAAGGAAAAACTCACCTCATTAAATAGTCCCTGAACTCCTTGCTTTTCAGCTGGTTCACTAGTTTCCTTGCTAAAGCACTCATTTTAAACTAAAAAGATAAGAATTGTTAATATCCTTGATTTATATTCAAAGAAGTGCTATAAAAACTAATGAGTTGAATCATTTTCTTTCAAGAATGTTACATTTGCATACGAAATACATTCTTTTACATTAGTTCAGTTAAATTTACGTTTGGACTACTTAAATAAATTAGTATGAAACGTTTTCAAGGTTATTTCATTATCACATAAGTATATTTTAAATCTGTTGTAATAATGTATCGTTATAAACATTAAAAATGTATTTCATGTATTCACCTTTTTGAACTTCTCGGTATCGTATAATTTGGAAAATAGGACTTTTAATTTGAAGGCAAAGTTATACCCTTCTCACTTCTCAGGCAGAGACTAATTACTAGAGACTAGAGATACTATAATGGATACTACCGCACTGACTAATTAGGGATGTTAAAAAGTCAAATTATCAATTAAGAACTACCTACCTATGTCGTAAGTGTTACATATGGGATGCCAAACTACAAGGAACTCAGAAATAATTAATGGTGGCTTTGCCTTGCCCCGTTGCTTAGGTCAGATATGAGTATGGCTATATGGTTGTACGTGATATGAGCCAACACTCCACTAGGAAAAGTCATAATCGGATTCATGAATACATTCAATATTTTCATGCACCCAAGATTAATTGGAAATTAACTGTTTTCTTAGTGAAACGGAAAACAGCGGATTTTGATTTCTACGGTCGGAGATTGATAAGTTGGACCGATTCATTGCTTGAAATCTAGTAGAATAGTATTTAGTCGAAAAGTAGATTTTTTTATAATTCGATTTCAGATCGATCTCGAGGCCAACTACCTAACCTATACCTAAAACCTTCTACCTATCTGTAATCTTTCATGTAGTCTATGCTTAAGCATCTCTCTGACATAGATAAGACTTTTTGGCGGGAACGCGAGGAGTGAAGTTGTGTGATTTGTTTTATTTTGTCTATTTAGTGTTTCTTCGGGTTTAAATGTGTAATAATGGTGGTTTATTAACCGTTTAATATCTGTGAAAGTGCACAAATGTGGGAAAATGAAACAAAGCCGCTGGACGTAACTTCTCGGGATCCTCCAAAAAGTCCACTGAAAAATCTTAGTAAATGACCACCATTTTACTGAGATTAGATTTCATCTCATATCATCTCATTTAATTTCATCCTAGTTGATTAATGTCACAAATTAATCATTTTCATTTCATTTCACTCCATAATATTATCATTTTTCATAAAATTAAGAATATAGAATAAAATAAGACATGACTTAAAGGTCTCAGTTACCAGGTCATAAAATCTCTTTAAATGACATAGATAAAACATTTATTACATATAATTACATCATTTACATTTGTACATCTACTTAGATTAAACTGTAGAACAAACAAGATTATCGATAAGAAATATACATGTTATAACACAATAAACATGCCTTAAACTACACTATTTTTATACAACAACATATAATATAATATCAAATTAATTGAGTTGATAAAAAATCAACATTATCTTAATAACAACATTTAAACAGTTCTAAACAAATTTTTCCCCTACAATAACATGATAGTTCTTATATACAATTAGTAAAAATTTTAAATGGAGGAATCTAAAAAGCTTTGCCGAGCGTGCCTTGGTGTAGAAAACCTAAAGAAAATTGAAAACTCGCAACTTGAAGAAACGTTCAGATTATTAAGTGGTGACCAAGTGAGATACATATAAATTTGCAACACTGAAAAAACCTTATTTAAAATTAGAACAATTTCAGTCTTAAAATTCCCTTTAAAAAATACTTAAACATAATATTACAAAGATAGTGGAAGAAACAAAAAGAATTATAGTATATTACAAAGCAAAAGAAATCAAATTATTTATTTGAAAATATTTGGTTAAATAAACTTTTTTTGCTTGCTTAGGTGAGTGAACGCGCTCACGGCCCATCTGGTGTTAAGGGATTAGTGGAGCCTGTAGACATCAAAACATGGTTGCTATTAACCATCTTGAGATGGGTTTGAACACTGGCATAATCACATTCCTCAATATGAGTACACCAGGCATCTTATCCTTAGCCACAACAACTTCCAATTTACTTGTAACTATACTGAGACCTTAGAACTTATCTCGAGGTGGGTGGCGTATTTACGTTGTAGATGTCTATGGGCTCCAGTAACCACTTAACACCAGGTGGGCTGTGAGCTCGTCCACCCATCTAAGCAATAAATAAAATAAATAAAAACTTATGAAATTAGTCTTAAAGTTAACATATGTATCAGTCAGATAAATATGCAGAATATTGGCACAACAGCTAATGTGTGTTGATGTGTGAGTTGACTAAAGATAACTTTTTTAGGATTGATACGAGCCCAAACTCACTCGAGAACTCAAGCCCAAACATGGATACTTCAAAAGATAATCTTCTAGTTGTAAACTATAAAGAAACAATTTATTTCAGGTGTTCTCATCTAGGAAACCATATATCTTCTGCCATCTATGTCATGCACAGTTGTTAATATGTCATCGATTCAGAGAAAGATGCCAACACTCAAATGAGGTTCTGGAACAAACTTTGAACAATGAAGTGCTTGATAGTGTAAGTAGATGAGTAAACGAGTCGAATAGAGTCCTTAACAGTATGTTTATGTTAGCTTATTGTGATGCTTTTAAATATCTATAAAATGAGCAGCAGATAATACTTTTTGAGGTGAGGTATTAGTCCTCTTGCCGGTGACAAAGCTTTTTTACATAGAGCCACTATCAGCAAACCTTGCTAAATATTCCGTTCATAGTTCATTAAAAACCAATGCGAGCCTATTATAACTCAAAACGCAATAAACGATTTAACATTCCAGGATGATATCTCAACACCCTCACATGTTAAAGCCACAGCAGAAAACGTTGAATATAATGAAAGCAAAAATCCTATTTTAACTGAAGTCTACATTGAATCTGAAAATAAAGAAAGAGATGATACAAACATTAAAGATGAAAATATTAAAGAACTAGTCAATGTTAATATAAAAAATGAATTAAATGACCATGATTGCAAAAATTTTTGTGAATCTAATGAGGGACTAGATGATTTGGATACAGAAACACACAAGAAAAACACCTTAACGAAAGAATTGGTGGAAAATGAAGAAAAAACATTGGTAACCGAATTAAATAATGAAACAAAAAAACGGACACGTAAAAAAAAATTTAAGCAGATAGGTAAATATTTTGAAACAAAACAGAACATGGCCAATTTTGAACATACATATGATTTGAATATAATAACTTTGAGTACCAAAGATCAATACAAAGAGATTTTGAAACGTAAAAATGGCTTTTCGTATCCATTCAGATGCAGCCTATGCTACAAAAGTTATATGGACGATGATAACTTGAATAAACATTTTAAAAAGTTGCATGATCCTGTAAGTGTTAATTGTTTGTATTTACTAGTTGTTCGTTACAGGGTATATATTAGTATACACACGCAATGAATACCAATCGTTGTCATATGAATCTTTGAAACCAAATTATTATGAACCTAAAATTTTAATCATTGTTTTTTTTCCCCTAAATAAGCTGATAAGCTTTCTGTTTAAATTGTGTAAACAGTTAGAGAACCTCTAGACAACACAACACAAAAACAACCAATCTTTAACCCGTTTTAGGAAAAGTTTCTTAACTCAGACCACATGTAGTCTTTTTACTGCTAGTAGGGCTAATACTAATGAACCTGTACAGGTACTGCTACACATTGTTACTGCTGCGTAACCATAGTCAATTCCTTGAAGGAAGGGATAGGTGCTATAGTTTACAATTTACACATATGTGGGTTATTCCCATAGTGCAGTCTATGTGGTCTGGTAACCACAAAGATCGGAAAAGCTGTGAACTCTTTCACCTATTTAAGCCATACCATTTTGGCAGGTAGCGGTTTGGCTCTGCCCCTGGCATTGCTGACGTCCATGAGCGACGGTAACCGCTTACCATCATAAGGGACGTATGCTCGTCTGCCTGCTTGGCAAAAAAAAAGTTAGTAGTTAGTAGTTTTTTTTGTATCATACTTGAGGTTGATATCTCAATTACATTAGAATATTGAGTGTATTGAATGAATCTAAAAGTTGTTTTCAGAGTAGAGGCGATGAGGTGTGTGATATATGCAAGACACGTTACAGAGACAAGAAAATGTTGAAAAGACACATGAAGACTCATCGCTTGAAGTTTGCCTGTAGACAGTGTAAACATGTCTCTATACTTAGGTAAACTTTGTGATTCTTTATGTGGTGTATGAGGTTAATCAAATCAATCAATCCAGGGAAATACAGGTGGACCAGTGTTTCCAGGTTCTTATGTGATCTATACAGTTTCGTATTGAAGCACACTTGTAGAAGGTCCAACATGAGATTGCTCAGGTCTGTACCATTGGATATGAGCACTGTGGACTTTAGAAGCTACTTAACAGTTTAATTTAACTTGTGCCTTAATAAAGATCATCTCACTCAAATCTTTGTGACCCGACTGCTTAATTACTAGAGATGAAACGGATATCCGACCGGATAGTGAAAACATGGCCGGATACCGGATAATAAATCAGTATCCGGTCGGAGTTATAGTATTAAGAAAATCTCATGGTTATACAAAAGGCAATAATACCACAATAGGTTATGGACAACTTTTATTTTTATAATCGCACGTCAAAAGTGATTGCTTTATTAATTAGTTTGTTTATTACTCAAAATTAACAAGTGGCAAATTGTGGTAGAATGAATACCAAATTGTCGTCGTACCGAGTCGTCGCGACCTCCGCCCACTTTTTTTTTTATGCTTGAAAGATTACTGGTGGCCCGGAGGCCTTTCCAGTTTCACCAGGTTAGGTGGGCGAGCACAGGCTCCGCCCACGTGCGACAACACCCAAACGCGCATGAATATCTCCGAAAGGGCCGAATATCTGGCGCTCCGGTCTCGCAGCTTGCCAAATATTCGGTATCCGGCCAAACCACTATCCGTTTCATCTCTATTAATTACTCACCAACTGAATGAAACATTAGCTAACCCGTGTTATCATTTCTCTCTTATTCGAGTTGTGTATTAATTTCAATATTTCAGCTCACAAGCAGTAGAACATTACAACATGCACAGAGGCCAGGTGTACAAGTGTCAAAACTGTGATAAGACTTACGAGTGAGTATGAACATTCATAGGGCTCATAACGACTCACATAAATAGACAGACAGCTGTGTTGACACAAGTGGTGGAACCATTGTATGCTATTAAGATATGATGCAAGTGCTCACTTTTACTGGTACGTCTTGTGAGCGCATGGGTAGGTACCGCCACCCTGCCTATTTCTGCCATGAAGCAGTAATGCGTTTCGGTATGAAGGCTTCATGTCTCGAAGCTTAGTCCACTGAGTTTCTCGGCGGATCTTCTCAGTGGGTCGCGTTTCAGATCCGGTGGTAGATTCTGCGAAGCACGGCTCTTGCTAAGGCTAGTGTTAGCAACACTCCAGTTTGAGCCCCGTGAGCTCACCTATACGCTAAGGCAACGCTGATATAGCTCCTCACGGCTATCAGCATAAGTAGAAAAAAAAGTGGTAGGTGGCAGCATTTACGTTGTAGATATCTCTGGGCTCCGGTAACCTTTTAACAGCAGTTGGGGTCTGCCCTTGTAGCTGGCGTCGCCGGTGACTGGTGCTTTTTACTGGTGGTAGGACCTCTTCTAAGTTCGCACGGGTAGGTACCACCGCCATGCCTATTTCTACCGTGAAGTAGTAATGCGTTTCAGTCTGAAGGGTGGGGCAGCCGTTGTAGCTATACTGAGACCTTAGAACTTATATCTCAAGGTGGGTGGCGTATTTACGTTGTAAATGTCTATGGGCTCCCGTAACCACTTAACACCAGTTGGGGCCTACGCTTGTACCAGGCGTCGCCGGTGATTCAAGTTGTGTATTGATTCCCAGCAAACAAACTACATACTTAGCGCACATAAGGTACAGTCACCCGTCGAAGTGCATCTGGTGCGAGCTGTGCGGCGAGTCCTACGTCTCCGAGACCGGCCTGAAGTGTCACCAGAACTTGGTCCATAAGGAGGTCAGTGTGTGGTGTGTTTTATATGAAACAAGTAACGCTGATTCGGTGGAGCATTAGTAAGCGGCCCTGACTGTTGCGTCGAGGGTCGCGGGTTCGATTTCGGAATCGGGCAAAAAATTTTGTGCGATGAACATATTTGTTTGTTCCTTGTCTGAGATGTTTATTATCTATACGTTAATTATATCTATTATCTGGGGACTTTTTGGCAGGAACGCGAGGAGTGAAGTGGTGTGATTTGTTTTTTTTTCTATTTAGTGTTTCTTCAGGTTTAAATGTGTAATAACGGTGGTTTATTAACTGTTTAGTATTTGTGAAAGTGTAAAAATGTGGGAAAATGAAACAAAACCGCTGGACGTAGCTTCTCGGGATCCTCCAAAAAGCCCACTAAAAAAAGTCTCAGTAAATAACCACCATTTTACTGAGATTATATTTCATCCCGTGTCATCTCATCTCATTTAATTTCCCATCAGTTGATTAATGTCTCAAATTAATCATCTTCATTTCATTCACTTCATATTATCATTTTTCATAAAAATAAGAATACAAATTAAAATAAGACTTGACCTAAAGGTCTTAGTTACCAGGTCATAAAATACCTTAAAGAAAAATAAGTGTGTATGTCAGTCTCTGGTATCCATAACACAGAGAATGCTAAATTGGGGCCGAATGACCGTACGTGATTTGTTCCCACCAGTTATTATTTATTTATTTAGTAGTCCCATTTTTGTAAAACGAATAAATATTTCGTCTTCTATCTTTAAACAGACGCGATTTTTTATTTAAAAAAATAAATAGATATCAGATACTTTGTCTGTAAAATATTATAATTTAAATGAAAACACATTCTGCCACAAACCGAATACCATATAACAATGTTTACAGTTGAAATACCCACCGAACGCTAAATGCGCAAATTGTGAAACACGATTTCTGAATAACGAAGCCTATCGGACGCACAGCATGTCGTGCAACAAGTCGGCGAGCATGCCGGGCGCTGCGTGCGCTCACTGCGGACACAGCTTCGACAGCAGGCCGTCGTTACGCGAACATTTGTTAGAAACTCACGGGAACAAAAAGAATGATAAACTTTACCCCTGTACCAAGGTGAGTCGACTGCGGATTGATGCATATGTGGGTCGAATGTGGAGAAGCATATTCCCGTCTTACTTTTCGTCTAACTAACCCATAGACACAGCCCACTGAATTTCTCGCCGGATCTTCTCAGTGGGCCGCGATTCCGATCCGTTTGTAGATTCTCCGAGGTGGGTGGCGCATATACGTTGTAGATGTCTATGGGCTCCAGTAACCACTTAACATCAGGTGGGCTGTGAGCTCGTCCATCCATCTAAGCAATAAAAAAAAAAAAGTTTCTGCGAAGCACGGCTCTTGCTAGGGCTAGTGTCAGCAAATTCTCTCAGGTTGAGCCCATGAGCTCACCTACCCGTCCGGGCGTAGCTGGAATAACCTCATAGGCTATCAGAGAAAAAGGAAGGAAAAATATATATAAATAGAAGCATACATTCTGCTGTGGAGGGCGACGCTTATGCGTGAGTACTGACAACTACAATAATCTTCGTAAATTTTTTTTATTGCTTAAGTTGGTGGACGAATTCACAACCCACCTGACGTTAAGTGATTACAGGAGCCCATAGACATCTACAAATGCCGCCGCCCATTTTGAGATATGAGGTCTAAGGTCACAAGTATAATTACAACGACTGCCCCGCCCTTCAAATATTGCTTCACGGCAGAAATAAGCAGGGTGGTGGTACCTACCCGCGCGGACTCACAAGAGGTCCTACCACCAGTAATTACGTAAGTCTGACCGCTAAGGCTACGTTTACACATAGTCTCCGGGTATACGGTACCCGTTTTAACGAATACGACAAAAAATTATGCTTTATTCACACATAGGCACCGCGTAACTTTCAACCTATCCGTCATTACTGGATACGATGTTCACAAGCAAATTCGTAGTATACCGCCGCTATTCTACCAGGACGAAACTTGTTTGTCTAGCTGCACCGCCCGCCGGCCCCCTCACCCCCGCATAGTTTCTATCCGGTAAAATTATACGGAACCATGACGGATACGTATTCCGCTCATCCAGTGTTCGATAACGAAACGGAATGTCGTAATTTACCGGACCGTTTTTTTTACTGTATACTGAATACTGTACCATATGTGAAGTCACTCATACAACTCCATGCTCCATCGAAGGAAAAAAACGTATCCGACAAAACGGACCAGTAAAACGGAGACCGTGTGTGAACGGGCTCTAACGGGTGTTGCTCGCTCCGGGCGTTTCAATATTGCAATAATTGTTACGTTATAATACTCATTGTAAAAATTTATATTAAAAAAATATTCTAATATGTATTAAAAAAAAACGTGTGGCACTCGGGAACTGCCGCGGTAAAGCTATTGCATAGTATTTTTTATCAACTTGTGCAATTATAATTAGACAATGATAATTTAATATTAAAACAATAATACAACAAGACCACGCTATATTAAACATTAATAAAAGCAAAACCTTAACTGTCCCCTTCACACTCATAAGCTAGACCGCTCTAGAGAAAGATGGGCAGACTTTTCATGATGCGCATGCAGTGCGACGTCACGCCGCGCGCTTATTCACAAACACTACACAAGCGCAACGTGTGATTGAGTTGAACGCGGGCTACATGGTAGGCGGAGTGAGGAGTGTAAGGTTTTTTTCGTTACGGAATTTCATGATTCCGCTCTCAAGCCGCGCTCTAGGCCCGCGATAAAATCTATGCAATAGCTTAAAAAGAAGAAAAAAGACATGCCCGCTGAGTTTCTTTCCAGTTCTTCTCAAGACGGAGGCTAGTTTTTGCGAATTGGCGGTAGTTCTTTTTGACGTTCAACAAGTATGTCATTTATGTTGAATAAAGTTTTTTTGATTTGATTTTGATTTGATTTGCTGTCGGCAGTGCAAGAAAACGTTCGCGCGCGCGTCGCGGCGCGGGGCGCACTACCGGCGCGCGCACGCCGCCCAGCGCGCACCCGCCGTCGTGTGCGAGCGCTGCGGGAAGGCGCTGCCGGTACCCACCCGACACTCTATTTACTAAGTTTTTTTTTTCTCCTAGCTATTGTAGTAACGTCGAGAGATTTTTTTATTTATTTTTTTATTGCCCTTGTAGCCAGACAAGCGCCCTCAACACAAGCTTACTCGCCAAGCCCTTCATGGCAAGCGACGGGTTCGACCGAAGACCGGTGCTTGAGATACCTAAAAGCACCGTTAATGGATCGAGAGGATCCGTAATGACGTGTCTATTAACTATACAATCCACTTCTAACTCACGTAGAAGAGTTTCAAAATTGTGGCTCTATTAGAACGACTAGTATTGTAAGCCCGCCCCGGTCACCGTCCTCACGGATCCACGACGAGCGAACTAACCCATAGGGGTTCCATGATCATCCATCCATGACCCGTGTCTATACACAGCCCACTCAGTTTCTCGCCGGATCTTCTCAGTGGGTCGCGTTTCCGATCCGGTGGTAGATTCAGCGAAGCACTGCTCTCGCTAGAGCCACTGTTAGCAATTCTTTCAGGTTGCCAAGAGCTCATCTACCGGTTAATGAGTAGTTGGAATAGTCCCTTAGGTAGGGAAAAACAAAATAGATTGGTACCACGACCCTGGTCGTTTTTATTGTGTAACAGTGGTATATTCTAGTTTGAAAGATGAAACCGGCCTCATGTCCCAGGATTGCGCGGCGCTCGCGTCGAGATGTCCGCTGGCTCCACTAAATACTCACCGTCGCTTACAGTCAAGTCGCTGTCAACAATTTTGTTTTTTCAATAATGATAAATTAAGGATATTATGATATGACGGATTTGGCTAGTTCCATATTATGATTTTTAAAAAACATCAGCATTGTTAACGCTATTCTCTTTATCATTATCATTGCCTTTAATTGTGACAATAATTAAGACTCACTTTTCCAATAAATTCCATTTATTACATTTCAAGTGTACAGCGATGACAACAGAAAGCTCCGCTCCATTCGGCTGCTCGAGTCGGAATGTGTTGTGCGACAATAGTCACTCGTATTTATAGTAGCTTAATCATGAATTCTCTTGAATACCGTCTCAAACAGTTGTTGACATAGCTAACATTAAGGAAACATTTAACTTTAACTATTTTTAGTTCACCAAATAGTAATGTTGCGCCGACAGATATGATAGAAAAAAAATACATTCTAAGAGACTAATGCCCGTATCTTTAGACGTTTCGTCAAATATTCCTCCACTCTTTAACTCATCCGATGACACTCGAACATTCCTCCCAAACTTACTCGAGTTTGGTATTTTTAGTCGACCATTACATTATTCCTCAACTCTATTCAAATAAGCTAGAACCGTGGTATTGCATCACCAGGTAAGGTCAAAGTACGTCGCGACGTACCTACGCGCGTTGGAGGTTGAGTCGAGTCGAGTTAAGCTCATGTGAACGACTAAAGATACGGGGGCAACAGTGCCGTGCGCCGTCCGATGTTTTACCATTACCGAACATTACCCCGGTAATTATTTTGAGTCCGTTACATTTCGTTTGTAGAACACGACCATACTGAGGTACCACATGCGCACGCACACGGGCGAGCGACCCTTCCAGTGTCCGGACTGCCCCAAGGGCTTCGTCAAGCAGTCCTCGCTCAAGGTGAGAGACGGTGTGCTCTGTGGCCCTAATCTCAGAGTGACGTCCTGCCCCCACCCTACAGACGTAAGGAAAAAAAAACTTACACATTCAAACCCCAACATACCACCATGTCTTCTGCCTCAAGCCAAGTAAGCTCAAGCAAAGAGTCTTATGTAGGGAGTATTGCATATATGAATAGTTTTGAAGTCGTCGCGGCTTATAGGATAGGACGCCCGGTGCATTCGTATCGAGCGATATTCAGATGCTGATATTCAATCCTCCAGCTGATTTCTTTAATTAAATACGTGCTTAACAAATGTCACGATTGACTTTTAAGCCGAAGGAACAATACCGTGTAATAAAAAATCAAAATTATATGCGTAATTACTGGCGGTAGGACGTCTTGTGAGTCCGCGCGAGTAAGTACCACCACGCTGTCTGTTTCTGCCGTGAAGCAGTAATGCGTTTCAGTTTGAAGGGTAGGACAGCCGCTATAGGTACTCTTAAAGTCCTTAAAATTCATATCGGCATTTACTTTTATGTAAGCAATAAAAAAAGTTTGAATAAAGGGTAGTGATGGATCAAGCAGACTCATTAGAGCCGCCGTCAGACACGCTACCTTCATATCAACGATTAAATTTTCGACTTAAAAGCAATCACAGACGTGATTCCGTAAAACTCATGGCAACATGTGTCGGTACGTAACTCGGAGTGGTCCCTGGACAGAGCCACTCGACGGTGCACACGAGCGAGCGCTCGTTCGCCTGCGAGCTCTGCCCCAAGACCTTCAAGTGGCGGTCCGGTCTGCGCACCCATCAACAAACCGTACGTAACAACATCTCTAGAATCGTTCTTCTAATTTCAGCGTAACAATAACACTATTATTTATTTACTAGCCGTACTCGCCCACTTCGCTGGGCATTTAAAATTAACATTATTATTTATTGTCATTGTTATTAGAGAGTCCAACACTCATATAAATATTGACCTATCCATTATGTACATGTATTTTCTACATGGACACACAATTAATTGTAAGATACTGTTGATTACTGTTGCCGATAAATGGCGACAGCTGTCTTAAAAGAACTCATTATGCCGATATTTTTAAATAATCGAAAATAACTATTCAATATCACATTTATTTCGTTATCTTAAACACGAAGGGCAGTTCGGTTTTAACGACTTTTTTGCAACATTACTTTTAAATATCATGAAATAAATTTAATAATAGTTTAAAAAAACTAAAGAAATACGCATTATAGAAAATCCCACTAAAAAAAAGAAAATAAATCTTAAACTATTTGAATTAAAAATAGTGTAAGAAAAAATGATTGTACTTGTAAAAAAAGTGTGGGTTGCTTTTCAGGATATTATCAAAATAACCCTTCTAATCATATCTGTTCATAAAATATTTATAACCACTGATACCATGCATACGGATGTAAATTATGGGCACCTTTCCTGGACCACGCGACGACGTCGAGGGTAACAACTATAGTATACTATAAGGCATGCCGACCGAGAGGGCTGGTGGTCGTGGCGCCGACGACCGCCAGTCCGGCGTCCCGAGGGGGAGGGTGATGGGAGAGATGTGCTCCGCACTAAACGCTTCACTTTCCCCCCTTTTCCTTTTCATGAGTTTTGTCTCATGCGAGGTTTGGACGTTGGTTGTTGAGAGACAGGAGGTTTTAGTCGGTTCGACTCCGACATGCCCCGCCCTTCATCCCCAGTGAAGGGCGGAAGTCCGGCGATTTCCTCCTGACAAAAAAAAAAAAAAAAAAAAAAAAAAAAAAAAAAAAAAAAAAAAAAAAAAAAAAAAAAAAAAAAAAAAAAAAAAAAAAAAAAAAAAAAAAAAAAAAAAAAAAAAAAAAAAAAAAAAAAAAACTATAAGGCACCAAACAATCTTACAATTATATTCTTAGTGTCGTCCACAGCTAAGTCGTCTGTCTATCTTTTTAAATTCATCATCCAGCTAAGCATAATTATATTTACTTTATATGTAGCAAGTAAATAAGAAATACCTTTATTACCTTACAATAATGCTTCGAATTGATTATAAATTATTATCCAACAGGTACATTTGGGTATAAAACTTCCCGCTAGAAGAAAAAACCAACCTCAAGTCGCAGTTCCAACGATTTTCTGATTATGTTCGACTCATTAACTTAATGTAATTAACAATTAAATTATTTCATATCAGTCTCGTGTTTTATTTCTGATCTATTCATACGCAAGTACTATCTGTGAATGGGATAGAAACTACACAGCAAAACTAAATGTATTGAAAGACGCATACGTATGTTCGGGATCCACCAGGTGTTAAGTGGTCACACTGAGGTTGGATTCACAATTATGTCGTATATCGCCCGTCGTTGGTGGAGATAGAGGCGACGGCCGTGTCTACTTTGAGAGCTCGCAACACAACACCACTAGTGAGCCCTACACATAATCTATGTATATAGCTATTGCAGACAGCGCGTCACTTCATTTTACTAGAAGTATATTTTCTAACAATTAAATTATAAAAAAGAAAAAAAGCTAAATACAAAAGTTTCACCTTTCTTCCTTTCGCACCTTCCTTTAGCTTTAGGGTTCTCAATAAAAAAATTAGGAATTGGTGTTTTTTTTCTATCATAAAAGACAAACCGGTGAAGTACGTACGGTACTAATGTCTCTCCCGTTTGCCAACCCATTCAATAAAAAAAATATGGAAGTACTTAGTTTTCTTTCATTAATGTCAAAAATGATAGATTTTATCACATGAAATAATTATAAATCTTGAAGTGCCATTGATTATAATCCAATCACAATCATAGACTTTTATTTATTATAATTAGACCCAAAGATTTTATAAAATTTTACAAGAAACTTCACTATGACATTGACACTTGACAGTTAACAAACCAAACTCAAGCTTCAACCACATTCCGCGCTTACAAAAAAACAAAAAACATAACCCAAAATGTAATACTCTAACGAATTTCAAATACAAAATGAACATTTTCAGAGGCCTAGTAATTCTGTACATGTCGCTATTCGTACTGATATACTTCGGTTTTGTCGGAGCCCTGTTGTATGTTAGGAGCACATTCTCGGATAAGTACGTAGATATATTCGTATAAGGTGCCTTTCAGGCTATTCACTTCGGCACCGCCTTGTGTTGAATGCTTTAGAGTTCTTTTTTCTATGCATAGACGCGTGACCAATTGCCCACTGCTGTTAAGTGCTTTCGAGATTTCAGCCAATTTAATAATTTCTCCTACATTGAGCGAACATACAATGTTGTTTGAAGGATTTCATCACTACATAGTATAAAACAAAGTCGCTTTCTGCGTCCCTATGTATGCTTAAATCTTTAAAACTTTTTTTTTTTTTTTTGGTCATGAGGAAATCGCCGGACTTCCGCCCTCCACTGGGGAGATAGAGGGCGGAGCATGTCAGAGTCGAACTGACTAAAACCTCCTGTCGCTCAACAACCAACGTCCAAACCTCGCATGAGACAGAACTCATGAAGAGGCAAAGGGGGGAAAGTGAAGCGTTTAGTGCGGAGCACATCTCTCCCATCACCCTCCCCCTCGGGACGCCAGACCGGCGGTCGTCGGCGCCACGACCACCAGCCCTCTCGGTCGGCAGGCTATCCGAAGCCCGCCTAGATGGCGCCGGTTAGAGTGAGCTATCCTACGGAATACCCCGCTGGACCAGAACCAGCGTGGGTCGAGGATAGCCGGCCTTCCATCACCCGGATGCTCTTGCGTAAAACGCGTGCAGAGCAGCTTGCACGTCGTCTTCTTAGGCCCCCCTCGCCGGTCCCCAGACCGACATGTGAGGGGGGACCCGAAACACTTAGAGGGCCAGGGCTTGGGCGAGATCCGCCTCCCTGGCCCCCGCTCGACGGCGGCGGGATTGTGCGTCTCTCACGCGCCCCGCCGCCTCCTTCTGCGAGATGGTGCACTCGCAGAAGTCGAGCATCGCCTTCCACGACTCGTCGTCGCCGAGCATCGATACCACAACACTCGGCAACGACAAGTCGTTTCCTACTTTTGCGACGAGGACACGGCGCCACCCCTCCCATGCGGGGCAGGCGACGAGCGTATGCTCTGCCGTGTCCAAGTCGCAATCACAATGGTGGCACTCTGCCATCGGCTCGGCTCTGATCCGGTGCAGGAACTCACCGAAGCAACCATGCCCAGTGAGCACCTGCGTGAGCCGGAAAGTGAGGCGTCCTCTGTCACGATTCACCCAATCCACAAGGACCGGGCGAATCGCCTCGACGGTCCTATGACCAGCCGAAGGATCAGCCAGCCGTCTGGACCATGACTCCAGCACGGACCGCCGAGATTGGGCCCTCCGCGCTCTGACCACACTGTGGCTGGGACGCGCCACGCCCCGGGCGCGAAGGTCAGTCCGCCACTGATAGTCAGCGGCGAGCGCCTCCGCTTCCAGAACCCAAGGCGGCGTCCCAGCCAGTACACACGCCGCCTCAAAGGAGATGGTGCGATAACCACGGATGACCCTGACCGCGATGGTGCGTTGCGGCCGTTGCAGCAGCAAATCTTTAAAACTAACGGATTTTGATGCGGTTTTTTTAATAGATAGAGTGATTGAAGAGGAAGGTTTATATGTATAATAACATCCATTAAATAGTGGAGAAATCAATAATAAATTACAGTTTCCGAAGCGAAGCGAGGGCGGGTCGCTAGTTTAATTTAAATCACAAAATGAACAAAACGTGACTGTATCATGACTGGCACGATTCAAAGAACCAGTAACGCCATCTATCTAGTTTCACTGCATTGATAAACTTTATTAACCATAATACCATTTCGAGAAAGCGGCACGATACGAAAACCCTCTGGTCGGGGCCGCCGGAAACTACTATCCCGATGCTGCGGACCGAATGGTAAACAGTCGACGTCGCCCTAAACGCGTCATTTCGGATCCCCCCGATCCACTAACAGTGCTTTTAGGTACCTCAAGCACCGGTCATCTTTCTTGTCGAACCCGTCGCTTGCGACGAAGGCTCGACGAATAAATTAATCCATAGATGTGGCTCACTGAGTTTCTCGCCGGATCTTCTCAATGGGTCGCGTTTCCGATCCAGTGGTAGATTCTGCGAAGCACTGCTCTTGCTGGGGCCAGTGTTAGCAACGTCCTCAGGTTAGAGCCCCGAAAGATTAGATAGGAAAAAAACTACCTTCATAGATTTTATTAACAGAAATTGAATTTCATCTTTCTTTTCAGCTTCCAAGACGAAACATATACATGAGTAAAACGAACCTTCTTAAAATACCACTTTATTATGATAAAATGTAAAAAAAGGCACGTAATTAATAAATTGTAAAATGGACGGTTCATTCAGAGGTATATCTTTGAAATTCTTAAACACGAATTACATAATTGTCAAACACAAAGATTTATATACATCGTGTTTCTTTTTCTTTTCTCTTCTTGTTGTAAATATTCTCAACGATTTATATACAGAATCAAATAGTTGAACACATGAGTGGATGAAGGAGATATTATGATACAATTTGTTAATTTTGAGAAAACGGGCAACAAGCTTTTGTTACTCATTTTGAAGATTTTATGGTGTTTGTAGCAGTGATGGGCAAAAAGTAATCAGATTAATAATTACAAATTACAGTTACATTGTAATTGGTAATTGAGATACTTTGTAACAGGTTACTTACGTAACTGATTACAGCGAGTACTTATTGTAATCAGTTATAAAGTAATTCGATTATAAGTTAATCTAATTACATTAACTGTAACAGATTACTTATGTATTTGAAACAAGTTACTTATAATTACTGATACTTAAT